GGAAACGATCTGGTAATGATGAACGATTGGCCACATATTTCCACAAGGCGGAATTATAATAGTATGGGGTGGCATCAATCCAATCCAATGGAAGAACCAATCTCGTTTGTCTAAAACGATTTCTAAATGCAGACTACTGCAATATTATTTTCGAACCTATTGTTGTACCCTTTGCACATCAAGATGGTCCCCAATTTCAATTATTGCACGATAATAAGCGTCCGCCTACTGCTAAGGTCGAGCGATCATTCCTAGAAGGTAATGAAATTGAGGTTTTACCATGGCCTGCACAATCGCCAGATTTAAATCCAATTGAGCATGTATGGGATATATTAGGCAGATGCATTTTACAAGAAAATATTGCGTTCAGTACAAGACAGTAACTGTTTAAGGCCCTTTTAACGGAATGGAACAACATATCGCAGCAAGACATTGACCATCTGATCATAAGTTGGCCTTACAGTTGCAGGACAGTAATCAGCAACCGTGGAAATCATACACTATACTAACTTAACTTTTTTTTAATTGCCGTATTGCTAGATTCCAGTAGGAGCCTAAGAAGGTATCCATTGAATTCTGACATCCTCTCATATTTTGGCCGAGTAGGATACTAGGCCAGAAGATCACAGAGTAGTAACGGATTAACCATGTTTCGGCTAAAACCTTAACCACCGTTCCAGAAAGGTGGTCCTGCCACTCAATGAACGACTGAAATAAAATTCTAAAAATTTATAAATAACCATACCTATTACCGTAAGTCAGAAATTTTTACAGATGTTAGGCCATAAACTAATAAATAATATTAACCATAAATTTCAGATCCCTGGCTCAATTTCTTTCTCCGTCCTGCTCCTTTTTCTCATCACCCTAGAAATCAGATAGTGTACTTCTCTCCATTTTTTCTCTCCTTTCAACATTATGTTTACAATGTTTTTTTCATCCAGCCGGAAACCCATTCACTTCTCGAAATCTCATGTGATGTCTCCCGTGATATAAATGATATCTCATTTGTCCATCTCGGGCAGTTAAAAATGTGAGCGGCAAAGTCCGGTACCCCACAAATAGTACAGTCTGCCGAGGTAGATTTGCTTATTCTATTTGTGAAGGTGCCAAAACTGCCATATCCGTTATAAAATAGTTTCCTAAAGTTACATTCCCACCACGGCCTCAGATCGGGAATAAGCTACTTCGTCCACCATGCCCTTCGTCCACCATGCTTTTCCGCTATCATTCGCCCATTCCCTCTGCCACTCTACTATGGTTATTTCTCTCTCATTCTCATCTATATTATCATACATCCTTCTCGCATATACCCTCGCTTGTTCTTTGCACAACAAAACGATCGGTATCACTGCTCCAATGACATAAAGAGCCTCATTTGAAGTATCCTATATGTGCTAGATACCCTTAGGAGCATTTGCCTTTGCGAAGTCTCCATCAGCTTAGCGTATTTTGTAGTGTTTAGTACACTAGACCACACGGGAGCAGCGTAGGTTACCACCGACAGGAAAACTCCATTAAGTACCTTTTTTTGGTGCTACCTGGGCCTCTAGTGTTTGGCATCAGCCGTAACAACGCCTCCAAAAAATGTTTATTTTATATTCGAGACATTTGTTTATAACTTTTTATTAAAAATATGTAAAATAAATTAATCTTGGTTAGTGTTACATTTACTAATTAAATAAAAAACTAACGATTAAAAAATAAAATTTATTGAAGAGGTAGAAAACGTTATAAAGACGTTACTTTTATAGTAAAAGTTCGACAAGAAACTCAAATATTTTAAAAATTAGTAATATTGTCACAAATTTACTCTTTGGAAATCATAAAATAAAGAACTATCTTACTAAAATTATTAAAACTTATTTTTTATTGGCCGGCGTAAACAGATCCTAGAAATACTATAGTTGCCACACATGTGGACAGCTGTATCCACACCGCATTTAACTTTAGTTTAAAATAGAACTATTTCTGGTTATGTCCATTTGTGTAAGTTGTGATAATATCAGATTATTATCGTGTAATGTAGATATCACACCGAAAATATCAAAATACAGAGAGGAGTCCGCCAGGGTTGCGTGCTGTCCCCACTACTTTTCAATGTCTACAGTGAAGCGGTATTTCAAGAAACGCTCTCAGACTCAATAGAAGGTATATCTATCAATGGAGAAGTTTTGAATAACTTACGTTTTGCAGACGATACAGTAATAATTACGGATAACAACAATGATTTACAGAACCTAATGCAACGCCCTAATGAACGCTGTCATGAGTACGGACTGAAGATAAATTTAAAGAAAACTAAATGCATGATCATGACTAAATCTGCACATGCAAATATCCAATTGACTATTGAAGATACTGCAATTGAGAATGTTAATAACTATAAATATTTAGGTACATGGATAACATCAGATGTAGACCAAACCAAAGAAATTAAGACACGTATTGAAATAGCACGTACATCATTTATTAAACTTAAAAAGTTTCTTTGTTGTCGGGATATAAGTTTAGAACTACGCCTGAGAATGCTTCGATGTTACGTGTTATCTACTCTTCTTTATGGTCTGGAAGCTTGGACACTAAAACAAGTTCATCTGAATAAGCTGGCCGCCTTTGAATTTTGGTGTTACAGAAGAATCCTACGAATATCATGGATTCAAAGAATGTCAAACATGGAAGTAACTAGAAGGATAGGAAATGAGGCGGAAATAATATTAACTATTAAAAGACGAAAACTTGAGTACTTGGGACATGTGATGAGAGGGCAAAAATACGCATTATTACAACTTATTATGCAGGGCAAAATCCGAGAAAAGCGAAATGTGGGAAGACGAAGAATATCCTGGCTTAAGAACTTAAGGGAATGGTTTGAATGCAGTAGAGCAGAACTTTTTAGAGCGACAGTCAACAGAGTCCGCTTAGCCATGATGATTTCCAACCTTCGATAGAAGATGGAACTTAAAGAAGAAGAAGAATGTAGATATCAATAACGCATTTTTTTCATTTTGGAAAGACACCAGAGCAACTGGTAATTTATAGTAAAAACCGAAAATTAAAGTTCCAACGGTACGTCCATCAACAAAATCAGATGGTATTATTTTTTTTTACTTTTTAGTAATTTATCCTTTATGGTTATTTTATTTTACACCAATTTTTCCGAAATGACATTTCTTCTAGAACCCAAAATACAGGCACATAATTTCAATCCTATATTCTTTGAATTATAGCTTATTTTGAATGGTCCTTCTGGTTGTTAGCCAAGATATGGTTTACATTGATAGGTTTTCCCATCGCATAATGCAAAATTATTTAAGCTGTAACGATGTGTAAAAACTACGAAGAAGAGTAAACCTAGCATGGGCAGCCTATGGAAAACTCAAAGACATCTTTAAAAGCGATATACCAATTTCTTTAAAACGTAAAACATTTGACCAATGTGTGTTGCCTGTTGCCAACAGTACGGACTAAACATTAATACCCACAAAACGAAACAAATGATTATCAGCAAGGAGAATATAAACGGAGCTCATCTATACATTAATGGGACGCAGATAGAGCGAGTAAAACAGTATTGTTACCTGGGAACTATTATTAGCGAACAGTGGAGCAATTTACAGGAAATAAAGTGCCGCATAGGAAAGGCAAGAACGGTCTTTAACAAAATGAGCGCCATCTTCAAAAGTCACAACATATCACTTGATACAAAAATGAGACATGTGAGATGCTATGTTTTCTCTGTGTTGTTGTACGCATGGACGCTTACAGACACCACTATTAAAAAACTTGAAGCATTTGAGATGTGGCTTTATAGAAGAATGCTGAGAATATCATGGACAGCAAGGATCACGAACAAGGAAGTTCTAGGAAAAATGAAGAAGGAACCAGAGATTGTGTTTACGATCAAACGCATAAAATTGTAATATCTGGGACACGTTATGAGAAATCAGCACCGTTACTCCCTGCTACAGTCTATATTGCAAGGTAAACTCAAAGGTAAGCGGGGACCCGGTAGAAGGAGAATATCATGGCTGCGGAATTTAAGAACATGGTTTAAGAAAACCTCAACGGAGCTGTTTCGAGCCGCAGCGAGCAAGGTTATGATTGCCAATATGATTTACAACATCCGAAACGGATAGGAACCAGAAGAAGAAGAAGAAGTGTTGCCTGTGATGACCTATGGTGCCGAAACTTTGACATTGACAGCTACAAGTTCTAGGACGCTGCAAGTAGCTCAGAGGAAAATGGAAAGATCCAGATCTCAGAGTTAGAAATGAAGACTTAAGACGAAGAACAGGAGTTACCGATGTAATTTTCCAAACTGCCACACTGAAATGGAACTAGGTCAGATCTAGATCATAATCATTCTTTTAATGACAAATTTAAAATTCTTCACATTCAAAATAAAGGCCTTAAGCTATCTTTGTTAGAATCTATGGAAATCATCATCATCATCAATGGTGCTACAGCCCTATGAAAGAGCCTCGACTTTCCCAAGTCTATTACGCCAGGCAGTCCTATCCATTGCCAACCGTTGCCAGTTTGCTGCGCCTATCTTACTAACATCCTCATCTACACCATCCTTCCATCTGAGTTTTGGCCTACCCCTTTTTCTGCTTCCCACGGGTTGTGACATAAGGATTCTTCTAGGAGGGTTGTTCTGCTGTGATCTTGCTAGATGTCCTGCCCATCTTAATCTTCCTATTCTTATCTATGGAAATCAACAAATTAAAAAACACAGATGTAATTCTGAATGACCAACTTGAGACAAACAGTTCTCCCCTTCTCAACCTATTTCATTAGAGACTATAAATTTGTAAACCCAAGCCAAAAATAGATCACTTGAGAAAGGCAATCAGCCGAAACAGCTGTAGTGATAAGATTTAAAATAAATTTTGTGTAAGTTTGAAAACAAAGTTTTCAGTATTTTATTGTTACATAAAACGAATTTCCATCAAGTAACGGTCGAATCAATCAATGATTAAAATTAAAATCTTTACCTGTAAGACCTTTTAGTTCATCGAGTTCGTTCCTTAATTTTCTTTTAAATTTTGGTTTCCTTGCAGGTTTTCTTGGTTCACCAGCATTTTCTTCTGAAGTTAACCCTAAAAAATTATAAAATTATTAAGTCATTAATAACAAATTCCAAGAGATCAGCCAAATATGCAAACTGGAGAAGAGCACATACAGCCAACCTCCAAATATTATAGTAGTTTCATATCGAAAACTTAAATACAAGGCAAGGCTAGTACGAACCAGCTACTCATTAATATAAAAATGTAAAATAATATTTAATACTCATTTGTGTGAAGATATATGAGATAATTTTATATTATTATTTTAAAATAACACGTATCAGTCGAGTAATAGTTTGTCTAAAAACCACGTGTGAGAGATCACATAACCTTAAAGTAACTTTATTGGTGTTTTTAATTTTTATGTGTATCTACCTTTGTAAACTGACATAATAAAAAGTGCATTTAAATAATTATAAAATTAAAATGGGTTCAAGAGGAAAGTTGATATTGAATATGGAACTAGCTTCAGAGGTAAGAAAGTTACGATTTTATATAAACTTTGTCAACTGATTTCATATTACCTATATAATACTTTTTCTTACTTTTTCATTTAACATTTGACATTTTCTTAAAACTCCACTTGAATGGAATGTCTGAATGTGTCACCGTAAATAATATAATAGATATATTATGTTGTATTACATCCTTCTTATTAGTTACATTGTAATAAATTCCATCCATTACAAACACAAAAATCCCAGAAAACGCAGTAGGTACTTTTGTTATTAAATATACCCACGTATAATGGGTATTACGTTTCTGTTTCAATTTCTGCAGGTATCTTGAACCATGGTAATTATTTTGAATTGAATTATTTTTTCTTTTATTTATTACTACGAAGTTATAATTTTGTACGTATCTATCAACCTATTCAATAATAATGTTTTACAGCAGTTCTGACTATGATATTCTTATATGGCCCTTTAATAAGAAATTGGTAGATTGCTGACAAAACATAATTTACTTTCTTTTTTTCAGATGTCATTTACCAATTCAGATATTACCATTTTTGATCCTGAAAATATTGAATCTCCAAATCTTGGTAGTAATGTGACAGTTCCTTCAGTTGAAGTTTTTGGTTGTATACCGTTAGACATATCTTGTTGCAAGTAAAATGAATTGAATATTGTTGGGAATCAGATGACCCATACTATAGAAATAGACAACATTATTGACCAGGAAAATATTGTTGAAGCTTTGGATGAGGATGATAACAATATTGAAGATGTATGTAATGTTCAAGAACCTTCTGATCTTGAGATTGAAAACTTTACTTTGCCAGCGAAAAGAAACGAAGTGTAAAAAACGTGTTCCGGAAAATTGGGAAGTAAATGTTACTAAAATGGCTAGGATGAAAGGTGAAACATTTGTTGGTTATCACAGAGATACCAACGATAAAGTTACTAGAGTATCTAAGCGTCCAGGTCGCAAACTAGAACCCCCATGCAAATCACAAAAATGTATAAATATATCTAACCGGTATTGCAATGAGTTTACCGAAGTGGTAAGACAAAATATTTTCGATTATTATTGAAAAGAACTAGACTGAAAACAAAAGAAATTTACGTTACTTCTTTAGTAGACAAAATTCCTACAAGAAAAACTTCAGCTGTAGATGGTTTATCTCGCCGCTCTAGTTCGTAATATACCGCACAACTGTTTATGAACCCTTCACCAGAGAAGAAGTCTCTAATATCATCAAAGAGCTTCACAACTGGAAATCTCCTGGACCAGACGGAGTTTATAACTTCTGGCTTAAGAAGTTCTGGAGTGCTCATGAGTGCCTGTCAACATTAATTAATCGTGTTATTTCTAATCCGCAGGAAATACCATCATTCCTAACTCAGGGAACAACTTATTTAATACCAAAGGATCAAAATAATACCCAAGATCCAGCCAAGTACTGCCCAATTACGTGTCTTCCAACTCTGTATAAATTGGTCACATCCTGTGTAGCCCAGCGTATCTACCAACACTGCGCTCTAAACAATATCATAGAACCTCAACAGAAAGGATGCGCTAAGGGCTCCATGGGTTGCAAAGAACAACTTATTATCGACTCAGTCATTTCTAACCAGGCACACACCAAAAAAGGAATCTCTTCACTGCATTTATTGACTATAAGAAAGCCTTTGACTCAGTGCCGCATGAATGGCTGGTAGATATATTAAGAATATATAAAGTCGATGATAATATAGTGACCTTCTTAAGACATATAATGACATATTGGAAGACTAAAATTCACCTCCAAATACCTGGTGAAAACAATATCGAAACGGAAAATATCGCAATAAACCGCGGCCTATTCCAAGGAGACTCGCTAAGTCCCTTATGGTTCTGTCTAGCGATGAACCCACTATCCCAGCTATTGAACTCCACTGACTCAGGTTTTAGCATTAAAAACAATAACACTGTAGTGACGAAGCTTAATCATCTGTTGTATCTGGATGATTTGAAACTAATGGCTTCCACTCGAAATCACTTCCACAAATGCTAAAAACTATAGAAACTTTTTCAAATAATATCAGTATGCACTTTGGGTTAGACAAATGTCGTGTACTAAATATAGTCAAGGGAAAGGTTCAGCCCGGAGGATTCGATATTCAAAATGGCCAAAACATCGAAGCTATGGGCGAAAATGACATGTATAAATATCTAAGAGTAAAGCAAGCGCGGACAATTGACCATAAATAAATGAAAATCGAATTAACATCAGAGTTCATACGAAGGGTAAAATAGCTACTCCGCTCACATCTTAATAGTAAAAATTTGTTTAAGGCATTAAACACCTACGTATTTTCAACGCATGGCTACTCATTTGGGATTATTAAGTGGACTTAAACGGATATAGAAACTCTTCAGAGAAAAGTACGAACACACCTCACAAAGGCACAAAAACACCATCCTAGAAGTGCAGTAGAAAGAACGACATTACCGCGGTATTTAGGAGGACGAGGATTTATTGATATAAGCGAGCAATTAGATAAATAGATTACTAATTTAAGAACTTATTTTTAAGTGCAGGCGGAGACATCTATTCTTCGTCGCGCGATTTGCGCAGTAGATGACACAACACCGATCAACCTGAGAGAACAAGAAATGCGCATAAACCATCTTACTAAGAACAAAAAAATGCTCATCTGGATGGGTAAACCTCTGCACGGGTGACATCCGAATGAAGTCAGTCAAGACTATGTCGACAATATAGCGTCGAACTATTGGCTGACATCAGAAAAGATGATCCCTGAAACAGAAGGTTCATTTCTCGCCATTCAGGATCAGGTTATACCAACCAAAAATTACCTGAAATATATCGTCAAAGACCCTCAGGTCCAAAACGACAAATGCCGATATGGATGTCAAGCCCAAGAAACTATCAAATATCTTACCGGAGGCTGCCAGGCATTTGCTTCAACTGAATATAAAGAACGGCATGACTCAGTAGGGAAGATCCTCCATTAAAAGATAGCTTTTAACTAATTTTAACAACTTTTAACAACTACAAGCTATACTGGAATCGCACTGTGCTCACAGACCAAACTGTAGCACATAATAGTCCAGATCTCGTGCTAGTTAATAAACTAACAAGACAAACAACTCTAATCGATGTGGCGATACCTAACAACAATAATCTGCGTGTTAAGTACAACGAAACGATCGCCAAGTATAGAGATCTGGAAATACAAATAAGAAGACAATGGAGAATGGAAAGTACCCAAACGATACCTATTATTCTTTCTACCACTGGAGTAATTCCGAAGAACCTCCTAGAAAACATAAAAAAAGCTAGGTCTAAATGAACATCTATATAAGGTCATGCAGAAAGCTGTGCTACTTTCGAGCAAAAATAGCTTTGAATTAACACCAGCTTAATATTGCCCGAAAAGATTATTGCTACTTTGTAGTATATGTTAATGATACAGAGCACCGGTTTGTTAAAAAAATTGAGCGAGATGAAGAATTTTGGACTCGAATGATAGAAAAGCTTAATAGTTTTTTTATAATTGCTTTTTAACCCTCTACCGCATACGAAACCATTTATGGTTTCAAAATTTCAAAGTGTTGTAGTATGCATAATATCCACCACCCATCGAAAATTCTGACTACATCATAGCTAGTACTCATTTTACTATACATTTGTATGTTTGGTTGTCTACCAGTCAAGAGAAAGATCGTTATAACCTCATTCGTATATACACGTGTAGTGAGTGAACGGTATCTTATGTATGACACCAGTTTGAAGCAATATTTTTTATCGAAATAGTGAATTTATTTGTTGGAAAAAAGTTTTTGGAGAAAGTAAGTATTATTTTTTATTATATAAATATTTTTCTACATCCAATTTCACATTATTATCTAGCTTTATGATGTCATTTATTATCAAACCATATATGGTTTCGTATGCATTCAATGTTATTTTAGTTATACCGTTTTTAGAAAAATTATCATTTGATTTTTGTTTTCAGAATGGATCCTGGGAAGTTTTATGGCTCGTCTAAATACGTTAACTGTATTCCTGGTGATGGAGAACTAAGTGAAGACGATGTAGGATTAGATTCAGATAATGAGTATATTCCTTTGAATGGAGAACTAAGTGAAGACGAATTAGGTTCAGATTCCGATAATGAATATATTTCTCGATGTCGTCAGTCCCAGTCTGATGATAGTGACAACAATGAACAAAGGAATTTGGATGAAAATATACCTACTTGCTCTGGTATAAATAGAATTGTCAACAAAAAAAATAAACCTGAAAAAATTTTATGGGAGTCAGGCCATTTGAAGCATTTTAATAAAAGTGATTATGCATTTAAAGGCGTTGTAGATCTACCAGAATGTATCCTTGAGTTAGATTTTTTCTTGTTTTTGTTTCCAAAAGAATTAATATCCATGATTCTTAAACAATCAAACATAAAAGCTCTGCAGGATAACATAAACAAACCTGCCAATATTACCGAAAACGAAATGGAGCAATTCATAGGAACTGTAATATTTATGTCATTGGTGAAATTACCATCATCGAGACT